ATAGATTCATTGGTTTGTAAGGAGGGAAATCTTGAATTCAATCCTGGTGGAAATGGGAAACCAGTGGAGAGAGTGGAGGATGGAAGTGATGTGGTCATGTTTGTGTACTCTCATCAGGATCCTAGCTGCAGAGTGTTGGATGTATTGGATCATCTGCAGACTCTTGGTAGGAATCCCACTGAAAAGTGTATTCCAGCAGTCCGGTCTGGAGGAGACAAAGGCATGGAGCAGTTTTTCTATGTCTGAGAGGGAGAGTATAGGACGGATTATGGAAATGCTTCATAGGCAATAGAAGGAAGTCTAGATATGAGATTCAAACGTCTTTTTACACCAAAACTTGTGACTACTGATGAAAGTGGAATACTGGAACCAGAGAAGGAGGTTATGGTTTGATGAGAAGTGCCCGTTAGAATGGCTTTGTCTTTGGAGCTGTTGTGTTGGAGAAAGCTGTGCTCCATCCATAAGTTTATCTCCTCCAGGCAAATGGTGAGTTTTGATGAGGAAGTTGGTGGTGTAGCATTAAAGCGCTTTGGGGTCCTCTGGACCATACCTGTCAAGTCTCCCATTTTTACCTCCCTCTCCCACTGTCCTCCTGTATTAGTATTTTCCCATAAACATCCTGTATTGTGCACCCCCTTGCTCTGATAAAACCACCGGACAGCGAGATTTCCCGTATTCTCAAGTCCAAAACTTGACAGGTATGCTCTGGACTGCTTTTTGATGAGGGAAATGCATGCCACCCGGAAGCTACACCTGCCCATCACACCTTGCCGAGGAGGAAAAGGAGAGAGCAGACACACAACAACCAGCACACTGGCCTATGGATATGATAGAGCACACAGGTTCTCTATTTCCACCACTTTATGATAAGACAAACAAACAGAAGTGATGGTCTAACTGTACTTAAGTATTTATAGTTCATTAGTACATGTGAACACTGAAGGAAACTGAATGGAAAGGGGGTGGAGAGAAGAAGCAGCATTTTAAGCTTTATTCTAATGAGGCTGAATATTTCTCCTCTAAGTTGACCCACATCCTTCTAGGATGATATCATCAGCTAAAATTATTAGCAGCTATGGGAACTGCTGGTCTCATGGTGGCTTTTAGTGTTCATAAAGAATCACTGTAGAACTTCTTGTCTTCAGCACATGTTTTAAATCAAAGGACATTTGCCTGCTCTTCTTTGCATAGTGAGGAGATACTCCACACTTCACATGCAATATTTTCCCACCAAAACTACTTCTGCTTGCTTCCTCTTGTGAAACCAATACAGAGTGACATCACAACTTCTCACGCGCTTTGTCCTTTTCCTCTTCCTGTGAGCCCTCTGGTTTTAACAATCCCAGGCTTTTGTTTTTCTTCTATCAGATACTGCTAACCCATGTCTCTCTCTCTGAAGTGCATTTAGCCATCGCTAAATATTTCTGCATCATGTGCAGCTGTTACCATATTTCAAAATAAGAGACTTCAAACTAAGGTGTGTCATCAGGGTTCTTAAAGTGACTTCATCTGTTAAATGTGATGGGAGTCTCTGCAACTTTGCGATATGATTAGGGCAGCAGTCAATTATTATTTTAATTAATTATCTAATGATTATTGATTATTCTGACAATTGATTAACTGGACAAAAAAATGGCACATTCTAGAGGGTTTTCATTGAAGGTTTTTTATAGCATTGTTTTAGTGAATACTTGATCATTTGTAAAGCTCTGGCCTTTCTACTTGACCCAATAGTGATCTGTTGAATATTTTTCTTTGATTAACTGGATTAATTTTTACAGTAATTTTAACCAGATGAAGCTATAAATGTTACTTGAGTCAAAGGTAGAACATATTTACAGACAAAGCTTTAATATCTTAGGTGCAAAATGCAAATACTTATTGTACCATTTTGGCTTAATTACTGCTCAGAGTATTTTGTTCTTTCAGAAATACGATTGGAACTTAACCAGAAGCTGTAGATGGTGCTTATTTGTGTGGACCATGGAGAGGTGAGTGAGATTAGTGAGAATGAGCGACGGAGATTCCAGTGACCATCCAGGTGGCACTGAGCACAGATGAGAATGGAAGCCCGTTTCTGCCACTATTCTGAAATGATAGACCGCTGCAGATAGGCACCAGCCCTTGAGGATCCCACCAGGGAAAAGCATGTAAGATGATGGATCTTCATTTTATATAATATTGTAGTGCAGATAACAACTACAACAGCTCTCCCAGTACCTCTTGAAAAAGAGGTACTGGGAGAGAGAGAGAGCTGGTGGAAGTGAGGCAACTGAGATATCTCTGTCTTTCTAAACTAAGACCTTGTGTTCTGACCGTGGTGTATCAAAACGTCCCAATAACTTTGAATTTGGAACCTCTCTGTGTTTTGCATTTGAGTCCAGACCAGACCAGAGTATCTGCTGCTTTTGCAACAGGTGGAGCATCCTGGCTTTCTTATTCACAACCATGTGCCCTAAGTTGGGCACATGTTTGCAGTGGGTTCCAACCTTCCCCCAAAGTTCTGGTAAAGACTCTGTTGTATAAGTCCTGTTTGCACAGCAGGAGGAAGGAAAGCTAAATGGATGAGAGGGAAGCTTTTGAAAATCAAGCATTAAAGCTGAGTAACAGGATGCAGAAACTCTATGGGGTGATAAACAAAGACTCCAGGCCTGACAGAAGGAAGAGGAGAGTGAGTAGGCAGCAGAGGTCAGAGGAGAGAGTGAATGACTGGCTGCTGAAAGGGGAGTGAGCCTGAGAATGAATGGTATTTGACTGAGGGGAGATGAGCCTACCACCAGCTGTGTGTGTTGTCTCAGGCACACATGTACACACATACAGCCTTATCAAGTTCCCACACACACATAGTCTAACTCTACTCCGTTACACATTAACACAACATAAAACTGGCATCTCTAACTTTTACAGTAGCTGTTCCTCAATCAGCTACTGCTGATAATAAACTTGAAGCAATAAGAGCAGAAAGAAAATTATTTTGTTCATTTGGAATTATCTAACATTTTTGGCACATTACAGCCACAAACTTTGATAGATTTCCAAGGGGTTTTATATGACTGGACTATACGAAGTGACTACAACCTCAGGAGCCTGTAGATGATACTCTCCAGACTCCTGAACTGCAGTGCAGATGTAACCGGGTTCTGCTTCACTCCACTGTACCAGGCCAGCCCAAGTAACCCCTCGACTCTGCGTTGTGTAGTTTTAAAGAAGACAAGGAGTTTCTGGGTGATCTGTAGTTTATTTCCTGAATGAGAACATATCGGGTTGGAATCAGTGCAACGGCTCAGCTTCAATCAGCACACTACAACAGAGCGAGCGTTATGTTAGCTTTTTTTAACTTAGCACATGAAGTGTTTTATAATGAAATGATAGTGCAAAAAATTAGTGCCAGGCACGTATCTGGTAAATATTAATTGCACTCTATTTATCTAAGTTAATAAAAATTATGTTTTATCGATTGCTAACATCTTTCTACTCGGTGTGCTGAAGAATGAAACTCACCTCTTGTGCAGCTTTCACAGACTGGCACTGAGTGCAGGAGCCAGCAGCATATAACCAGCCACACAGAGAGGGGGGGCGCTATTTCCCCATTGCACTGATACATAAAGCAAGTGGGATTCTACAACCTAAACACTGTTACACAGATCCTGTGAATACTCGTGGGGAAGCTTCAGGCTCAGGCCCCTCCTGAACCATGAGGAGGTGTGGTGCCAGGTACCACACAGGAAGTAGGGTACCAATGGTAGCGAGAAAACATCTGAAGGGCCTCAGCCACTGAAGGTTGACTTGTATCTGATGAAGATCCTCAAGAGGTTGATTCTCAAGCATCTTTGCCCCATGGTGAGGTCTTCATTGGATCAGCTGCAGCTTGTCTACCAGCCGAGCACCAAACTGGATGATACCATCATCTACAAACTGAGTGTTTACTGTGACTATCTGTTTGCTCTCTTTCACCCAATAGCAGTGGCAGTTTCTGATATGAGTAACATGGGCAACTGCTGTCTTGTGTAGAGGGTGTGGGGTGTTAACATCTTCATTGAGTTTTGGGGGTTTGGGGGGTGCTATGATGGCCTCTGCCCAATAGGCTTGAAAACACACTCACCAGAGGTCAAAAGAATGGACTTTAAAATACTTACTCATTACTTACTTACTTACTTACATTGTAGTAATACAATGAAAGCATTGACTGGACTAAAACATGTTACCTTTGTGTGCAATTAATGAAATGATTGTTATTAATGGAGGAGTGATGTTTACAGCAGTGCAGTTTGGGTACACCAGATTAATTCAACATAACTATCATAGATGGCAACATCTCACTAGGTTGTTTATTATTAAGTATAAGCTCTTAATGTTGATCTCAGACTGTATAAAAGGTTTGAAGGTCTATAGTTCACCTTGATAAAAACAAATAAAGACCAACACTGACCTCATGCGGTCATAAGTATGAAGTACATCCTCTTAATAATGTGAAAAAAAGCTGATTGAAATGAATGCTAATCAGTTCTCCAAAGATAGCAAAATAATCCAAAACATTTTGAAATTTTAAGATTATATTCTGTCATGTGTTGGAAAAACCAGATGCATCGTTCAGCGTTAACAATAATTATACATTCGGTTATTTATGCTAAAAAATAACAAAATGTCACAAACTGAGACAAACTGAATTTATTTTTGACACAGAGATGTTAAAAACGTAACAGTGACTCAAAGGGGAGAAAAAACACATTTATGAACATGTTCTGTAAAACATGTTTTGTATGTTATGTATAAGTTGAGACAAGTTGTTCTTTACGAAGTTTTCCAATATTTTTAAACATTACATTAAAAAGATCTTCTCATATTTTATGTTGAGAAGCAGAAGACAAGAGCCTTCAAACAAAAGTACTACATTACCCATAGGAAACATTCACACAACTTTACCACGAACGTGTTGTTGATTGGCTGAATACATGTGATATGTGATTGGCTAGTGGAAGGAACCCGGATAAAGTGAGTATATAAATGAGGAACGGTTGGCGAGCGGGTCAAGTTGTTTCAGAAGCGGCTAAAGACGATAGCAAGAAAATCTGTATTTTGTACTGCGGTGTAAGGTCCTATCTGAGAAAAATATAAAATGGTATGTATCGCTGATCGTATTCGGTAATATGTCCGCGACAACATAATGTATTTTTGTTTTTAAAGAAGCTGTATTTTAGGGATATTTTCTTAATTTTTTTGTCATTAGCATGTAGCCGTTAGCTGCTGCTAGCTTAGCGTGCTAACCGATAGCTTTGAAAAAGCAGCGGGTATCTAAAAGATAAAAGCGTTTGTTAACTCGCTTTTTTTTTATTTGAACTGTGCTTGGCGGTGCTGGTCCACTGATCTGTTGCAAACTGTGGCCGCTCTCTGTGTTCCCCAGGCTGGCGGTAAGGCTGGGAAGGACTCCGGAAAGACCAAGACAAAGGCTATTTCGCGCTCACAGAGAGCAGGACTGCAGGTCTGAACACATTCATTCATTGCTACAGCTTTTCCTCTATTCACATCGCAAAGGTTGCTCCATCGGCGGCCGTCCCATCCGCTGGGACGGATGGGACGGCCGTCCTGAACCGTATTGTTTCTCAGATTTTTAATGGTTGTTTCCTTCGTTTTCCACGCAGTTCCCAGTGGGTCGTATCCACAGACACCTGAAGTCCAGAACCACCAGCCATGGCAGAGTGGGAGCCACAGCAGCCGTGTACAGCGCAGCTATTCTTGAATACCTCACTGCTGAGGTATGGTTAAACAATTTAAAATTTGTTTAAAGAGTCGTTCTTTGTGTCCATTACAGCATCCCAACTCTGTCCAGGTTTTGGAGTTGGCAGGAAATGCATCAAAGGACCTTAAAGTGAAGCGAATCACTCCACGCCACTTGCAGCTTGCCATCAGAGGAGATGAGGAGCTTGATTCTCTTATCAAGGCCACAATTGCTGGTGGAGGTAAAGATGCTTTATACACCTTGGTATTGGACCATGTTTAAACACTATTTTGTTGTCTAATGATGATTTTTCTTGGCCAGGTGTGATCCCACACATCCACAAGTCTCTAATTGGAAAGAAGGGCCAGCAGAAGACTGTATAACCTGAGGAGCTCTGGATGGTGTGCTGTCTCAGGATTGAAGTCTGCATCTGAAGTGGTTAAATGTCTTGGATCCAAACATGTTTAGAAATTTTTATGGTTAATCTTGCATTTATTCACCTGGGTTTTTATTACCTTTTTTTCTGTCTCAAGTGGCTTCAAAGAAGCTTTCTTTCCCTTGTTTTCTTGGTGCTGCAGTTATCCATGCTGTGTGGCATTCCCATGTTTAAAGTGGTGTTTTAATAAAGCCCTTGTTGGGCATTTGTTCTGCTTTTCCTTTTGTTTGCCTTAGGTTTTTTTTTTTTTTTTTTTTTTTTTTCAAAAATACTTGCCTTTAAAGTTTGCAACGGGAATGCTCCCTTAATCCAGAGTTCCTCCTGGGACAGTCTGAGCTCAATAAGCAAACAAGTTTGTGGTTCAATATGGAAGCTGTGCATATGGAATAAAGCAGGCTCATGTAAATGAATAAAACCTCTGTACATTTGAAAATGGTGCACAGTTGGTTAAAATTTGTGTACGTTTGAACATAATGGAGAGAAATGTATTACTTTTACCAGTCCAAGAACTGGCCTTAATTGCTGCTTGTTGTAGCTGCAATTAATGCCCATTAATTGGCCCATAACTCCCCTGGATTTAACTTGAATGTTTCAGTTAATACAAACCAATTTGAAGTTAGAAGCGGTATTTGTAAATGAGACATGGAGTTCAGCAAACTTGGATAGTGTCCAATAGTCTCTACCAGGGATCCTGGTCCTACCTGAATTATCATATGCAGTCAAGTTCTAACCAATTCTGGTATGTTGACGTAGAACCTAATCTAAAAGTTGCAGGACACCAACCTTCATGGAGCTGAACCCTGGGCTACGCCATGAAACCCAATTTTTTCTTCAAAGACCAGTTTCCTGCAACTTGTAGAGATGAAGAAACCATAAATTCAAGAGAAGCACTGTTTTTGCTCATCTAAAAATCTTAAAGTATATGGTTCAAAAGCTAAATACTGAATACTTTTAATTTGTGAAAAAGTAATAAAATATGTAGCAGCAAATTACAAAATGAAATTGGGCTGGAGAAAATGTTCAAAAATCAGTTTTCCACAAAACCTTTGAAACTACTTATGTATTGCACTGCTTTGGCATGTGCAATACATGAACAGAGCATGTACATGTATTGACAATGAGGTAACAGTCATTAACATCCAGGTAACAATGACTGTTATCTGAATGTTCACTTGGTCTTCAAAAAGCACAAAAGATTTGGCAGATACGGAACCATGAAACTGCACTGAAGTTAGTTTTGAAATCATTATACTCTACAAGAAAATTTAATGTTTTTGGTTCTAGTCTATCCTGTATCCCCATGGAGAAGCAGCATTCAGCTTCTATGCACCTCAAATCTGGAACAGATTTTAAGAAAACTGCAAAACAACCAAAAATAATACATTTCTTTAAATCAAGGCTATCACCCTACCTGCTTAGTTTCCTTTGGTAAGGAGTGAATACACTGATTAAAAAATTTGACATGTATTTTGCTTGATGATTTTGATGATGGCCTTTGACAAAATGTGATTGGTTGTTTCACATTTGACTACACAGCAAATTTGGAAGTGTCAGATTTCCAGTGCAAGTGTTGTATGTTAAAAATACAGTGTTAATTCAACAACATGAGTGTTAGTGAGTGTTAGTTTCCCTAACACTCACTAAAGAGTTCCAAAGGGTTAATCAAAAAGCAATCCAGTCCAGTGTTGATTTCTAAATTAACTCCAACAGTCTAACTCAACACTCAGGGGGCGTTTACACGACAACGATCCAACAAAAACCGAAGTTTTGTTCCGTTTTTGTTGGATCGTTTACACGAAAACGTTCTAATTACGATCTGTGTTTACACAGTAATGGTACAAATCGAAAACGTGTAATGCTTGCTGCGCCTAGTTGGTGCTAGGTTCTTTGAAACTCAGTGTGCATGTGTTTAAAAAAAGTTCTACTTGAAGGCATGTGGATTCGTGTTTCCCTATCAGGTACCGTTCTCCCATAGATTAGGAGAAAACACGCATTGTGTGTGTCTGATTAGGGCGCATGCAGTTGGAAAAAGTGGGATAATTTTGCTGCAACACCTTGTTTGAGCTTTCACGGTGTCCGTAGCGGGCCCCGTCTGGAAGCTGTTTATTGCTTTTACCTTGGAATGGCCAACAGTCTGTTATTCCTATATAAATTTGATAAAATAGGAGCTCCTGCCCTTTCCATATCCATGTCCTCTGTCACCTTTTCCAGCAGTTAAAACAGTTTAATCCGTTGCTAACAAGTTGTAACTTGTTTTTCCGAGCCGCCTTCAAACGCAACATTAATGCTGAGACGCTCGCGCTGGGTTTACACCTGTGAGGCAGCAAAGTAGACCTGCTGCTGCTGCGCAGGTGTGTTTTAGAATCATGGCAGCAAACCAGCAAAACGTAAATAACTTCCAAGGATTCTTCGAAGATTCAAGCTCCAAAAATGATTATGTAAGTGTTAATATCTCTGAAACCCTACATTTCTGTAATTGAGGCTTGTTAGAGTTGTAGTAAAAATGTATTCCTTCGTTCCATTTCTCATTGTTATGTTTTTTGTTCGTTATGATCCAGAGACTGACACTGGCTGTCTTACTCAGTGACTGAAGACTATCCGATGCAGTAGAGGAGCATGTTGGTGTCTCCAGCCAAACTTCACGAACAGCCCAACAACCTGAAGACAATCTGTTAGTGAGTGGACATCTCTTTGGTGGTGTGCCGAGAGGAACTTTCTCTTATCAACAGAAATAAAAACCGGGTAAAAAATGATGGATCTGATTATCAGGTTGTTCTGTTATGTACTGAAATATCCAATAATCTTCCTGTTAAAAGAAAATGTTAAAAGAAAGGTTGTTCTGTTATGTACTGAAATATCCAGTAATCTACCTGTTAAAAGAAAATGTACTCTATCATATTACATGAACTGCTTGCTTTACTTTCTCCACCTTGTACTTTGAACAATTTCTTGAATATATTATTGAAGAAAAATGTATTAAGCATACTGCATTTTGTATTGCACAGCTGATATGTGAGACCGTTTGATAAGCGACATGTGAAACATGCACATTATTCCACGTTGTAATATGTTTTGT